TGTTTTCCATTTGTGCTTTTTGCCACTGTTGTTGACTTTCTTGTAGTTGCTGCTGACTTTCCTGCAACTTTTGGATACTTTCTTTTTGTTTATTTTCTTTCTCCTCCAACCACTGCTGTAGTCTCTTTTCTTGTTTATTTTCTTTCTCCTCTAACAGCTGTTGTAATCTCTCTTCTTGTTTCTTTTCTTTTTCCTCCAACAACTGTTGTAATCTCTCTTTTTCCTCGAACAACTGCTGTAATCTCTCTTCTTGTTTCTTTCACTGTTCTTGTATTGCTCCCATCAAATCTGCTAAGCTGTAGTTTGTTTTGCCACCTCTCGTTTCCATCTTCTTCTTCTTCTTCTTTTTTATTTTTAAAATTATTTTTATTATTATTTTTATTTTCGCAGGCCTGTGTAATTAGCCATGTCGCCTTTTCATGATCTATATCAGATAGAAGGCGGTAGCTGAAAAAGTGAAAGGAATGTGTATAAATTATTTCTTTATTGTCTTTGCTTTCAAAATTAAGTTGAAAATGATCGAACTGAAAACTAGAGGTTAATAATTTCATTCTAATGAGTGAAAAAGAGGTTACTCTAACCCAAGAAATAGCTTTGGATCTTAATCAGTGTAGTGTCAATGACTAATGGCAGTTTTCATTATTTCTGATTTAGGATAGTTCAAGTTTTTTTAAACACCAACATTGATAAAATATGAACAAAATTTGTTTGTATTTTATGGCAAAGCTACTAATGTTATCTTTCGCCGTCTATAATTTTGAACTATTGACCAGAAGGGAATGTAGTCTGTCAGCAACACCTTACCACCCACATTAAGGAATTGGCTGTCACTCTTACAAAACACCTTTAGCCCTAAAGTGTGGAAAATATTTTGTGATATCGCACGGATTCGAACCCCACTTAATATTGAAATCCAAAGTTCTACTACAGGGCTAACCTCTGCCCAAACATAATGTTACGACAGTGGAAGTCACACAACGCTGGGAGCATGCGCGCTGGAGTTTCTCGAATGATCATGAATTTTCTTGGCAACTCTAGTTTGTTCCAGGTGCCCTTTTTTAGTATATAAGCCCGGCAAATAGAACCAGCGAAAAAAAAGATAGTATTGTATACATAGATAGATACAGAGATAGATAATTGGGTCAAGCTGACAGTAGGCACCGTAAGGAAAGTGTGTGAATCGCTATGAATTATAGCGTGTGTTTATAAAAGTAGTTAAGTTAAAGTGACTGTGGAAATTCTGTGTATTACAAAGTTGTATCAAGAAAGAATAAACTAGTTTTATTCAAGAAAAGACTTATATCGCTGAAGTTCCTCGGAAATAATTTATACCGGAAATTAACAAACGAACAGATATGTAGCAAATTGGTGTCAGAGAGTGGGATGGAAAAGAAAAAAGAAGATAGAAACGAGAAGTGGCAAATCAAACTACA